ACCAGCATAAACCAGCAAAAGGACCAGCATAAACCAGCAAAGGACCAGCATAAACCAGCAAAAGGACCAGCATAAACCAGCAAAGGACCAGCATAAACCAGCATCCCAGCATCAAAACGTACCTAACCAGCATATGCTGTTTTTTTTCAACAGGGCAATAATGACAATATTGCTAAGAATCATGGACTTAATCCAATTATGATGTTTACATGATAACATGAGCAAACCTCTTCAGTTCTGTTTACATGCAGTGTTCATCTATGATTGATTAAGGGATAAAACCACTGGGTAGTAAAATAACGGGGAAGAAGCAGGTCAGCTTGGCCCAGTTATACCAAAGACAGGTGTTGGGAAAGGCTCAGTGTGGTGTGGGATGATACTCTGGGGTGTGATACAACAATGGCACATGCCCTATAGTAATTCAGTCTCTAAAGTTGCGATGAGTTTCAACCCCTCCCACTAGCATTCATTTTAGAAGTATGTTTTTCTTAGTGAAAGCTTTGATATATAGCAGATATTGTGGACTAATGATCTCAAATCAATAATTCATGTTCGTGTAATTATTTGGTGGGTAGCCGTGTAATAGGCATATAATGTATAATGTGCAGTCAGCTGGATATGATCTCAAAATAAACTCCTTCAAGGTGATGCAAGATCTTATGGCCCTGTATTTTATGAAAATGATCTGTTGATTGTACATTATCTTTACTCATGTTTATGTTATGCAAAGTCCTCCTCAGATCCTGTCATCTTCTACACCACTGTGTTTCGAACCTGGCTTGAGCCATCATCCACTAGTACACACATTTTAGTCAGAGTAGAGGAAATCTGATTAAAGTTTAAATGTACCTGAATTCAAATCGCAGTATTCCACATATCATACCCTGGCTATGGTTGCTCTGATTAGAAGCATAATTTAATATAATCACAGCATTCTGCTTACATGAGCTACAGTATTGCTTTAATCACATTATGAGGGTACATGTCAGTGTGGCCACTGATTAAGGCAGTTTTCAGAGATGAGAGGATAACATCACAGAATGATTACAGATTTCAGGAAACATCTTTACAGTCAATCCCATTACAAATTGAGTCTAAACTAGAAAGACAGGTTTAAACCTTCAGGAGACGGAGAAATTTTTGGGTCCTGAAGATGTTTTGACATTTGTGCTTATTTCAGTTAGCCTATTCTATTATTGCACTATTGGTCTATGCTCTTCTGGTTATGCACTACTGGTGTAATGAGATTGGACAAAACTTTACACAGACTGGGTTGGCAATTGATACTATCAAAGCAGTCGCATGCTAACCTGTGTGTTACTGTCAAACTGTAGTTGCACACTTGAACCATTTATTCATAGTGCATGCTAGACTTCCGTTAAAAGAATATTGACTGTACAAATGTTTCTAAATGCACATACATGAGGGAACTATTTTTGCTAGCACTCCAGGCACAAATCATCTCCATAAACATTAGATTGAAAAGATCCTGGAATATTCCTCTAGAAAAGCTTTGTGAAATCTGACAAAACACACAAGCAAGTGTACAAGAGATAAAAGAGAATAAATTAAGACATACAGCATAGAATCAAAGAAAATAAGTGAGAAAGAGAAAGACAAAGCATGTGAAAAAACGAAGAGAAAGAGAGGGAGAGACTGTAATGGCCCTTGGCCCCTGCAGTGCCCCTCTTTACGCTCACTATAGATGAATGGGAGCCTGGTAACCCTTCAACCAGAATGATCTGTGAACACATCATTACAGATCACATCTGAAACCTGTGCACAACCCACAATTCCCTAATCACTCGCTCTTTACAGCCAGGATGTGTTTTCGTGCACACGGAGAGAGCGCACATATGGGTCAGTCATGTGCTTATATTTTACCTCACAGCTCCTACAAAACCTGGATTATGATGCAGATGGTTGGTGCTAAATAACAGCAAATGTATTTGTGTTTTGTATGTGGAGAAATGTATACATTAGTAGCTGATGCTCACTGCTCTGCACATTTTGTATGTCGTCCTTATTTAAGGCTCCAGATTCAGATCATCAGCTCATTAGGAGACTGAACTGAGTGTGTCAGATAAGAGAGACGAGATACTTTTTTATTCTTTTTTTTAACAATTAAAAATGAATGCTGTAATATACATATTACATAAAAAAAACATTAATTTTGTCTAAAATGATTTGTGTACTTGAACTATTATCAGCTCAACTGTATTAATAAATGTATTAATATATGCAACCTTACCGACGAGTAAGGCAAAAAGTAAGGGATAATGAAGGGATTTATTCTGCAATAACAACTGGCTGGATGGACATTATCCTGTTTATTACACGGCTGCTTGCTACATAAGTAAATAAAGTTGAAATATGAAGAATGACCAATCAGAATCAAGAGAGAGACATGTAATAATCCAGAATATTCTTGTGATTGATACATGCCAGTGTTGCCAGACCTACGATAATTATCGTATTTGTACCATAATTTTGACCTCTGTACGATGTACGATCAATAATACCATAGTGTACGATAATTTCAGAATTTTGTGACACCAAATGATAGTCGTTGTAATTATAGGGCTTCTATACTCCTTGATCTAGCTGTGTGGGTCCTACTGTACGTGCACCTTCATGATTGTGAGGAGACTTGAATGTGTTACGCATGTCTTACATCTCATCTCACATCTTCTCGACCAATCATTGTGGAGAATGACTCTCTCACGAGCACAAGTTAACGTTCCTGCCGCACTTAGGTCAGTTTTTTTTTTTCAAAGCTGAGGTTGATAGTTTAGCAATAAAGTATTGAAAATTAGTGCTGAAAAGGATAAATAGCTGTAACATCTAGATAAATAGCTGTATTCTGAACGTTTGACTCGTGTACGATAATTTTCTTCCAAATACAATAATTTTGGAAGAATTGGACATTTCCAATCTGGCAACACTGATACATGCTCAGTCATGCTTACTTTCCCCCCTAGATTTTTACTTTACCACTTAATTGGTCAATATGCTTTGAATTTGTATGTTTTAAGACAGAATCTAGTTAATTTGGTATTGAATTGCATTGTTAGTGTGTTTCAGTCCTTAAAACTCAAATGCTAATTTGTCCTTGCTATTTCTTTTGACCTGATGGGAATATACGTGTGTGTACTCCGGATTTGACATTCACTGTTGCCCCGAGTCTTGACCCCGGACAGTGTGTGAGTGTGTGTGTGTCTGTGTGTGTGTGTGTGTGTTTGCGTGTGTGTGTGTGTGCGTGCGTGTGTCTGTGTGTGTGTGTGTGTGTGTGTGTGTGGGTGTGGGTGGAT